ATGCAGAAAAAGTCTGAAAGGGGTCAAGAAAAATTTTGCACCTGAAGGAAACTGTAGTCCAGCTGTCCCATTTTACAGGTGAAGAAACTGAGGCTCCAAAAGAGTATGGAATTTAAGGTCACTAATGATTAATGGCAAGACTGGTCATAAAATTTGGGTTTCCTGGTTTTCATTTTTTCAGTCTTCTCACTATGTGTTCATTATTTAGCTTTGGGTTACTGGGGGCCTAAGCTAGCTTCTTCACCTCAAGGCCACAATTTGCAGTAAATTTTTCAGTATCAAAGAAGGACACCTGCAATATCATATTAGAGGAAAATTTAATATTGACTGGGCAGAACCATTAAGGCATCTTTTCTGAAGAATAATAAAAAATGCCAGCAGTTTCTACAACTAACATAGATTCTCACCTTCTTTGTGCACCTGCAAAGCACATTTCAAATACGAACCACAGGGTGATGTGAGGAAGCCAACTTAAATTAAAATGAGAATAAAAGACTGGTTTTAAAAGATCATTTCTTCCCCATGGCCCTTTGAATCTATGTTAGTGGTTATATATTGCTTGGCCTGAATTTTGTTTCCATTATTTGGGGGTTGGGGGGATGATACTCTCTAGGAGAAGGTGCTGGAAAATCAAAAACCTTATGGTGTCTTGATGCTCTCAGGTAACCTTAATCTCATGCAGAGACTTTAGGTGACATCATTAGCAGTGATGATTAGATGTTTAAACCTCTTTTTCTCTTGCTAATTCTTGTTCTCATGGCCCACCTCCCCCTAGGAGCTACTTTAGTGCACTGTACTAACAAAAACACCAAGACACGACTGGAATTTTTGCTATTGCACACAATAACTATTTCATGCCCATGTATTAGTGAGGAGATGTGAGGGGAAAATTCTGTCTCTTTGAATATGGCTGACTTTTGTTTTCCTTTTGGTTAACTTGATACCAGTGTACATTGTCAGGAACTCATGTATTTTTCTTTTTAAACAAAATGAGTAACTTTTGGATTTTAAAAATTAGAGAAAAACTTATTTATTGTATATGGGGATTTAGATGTAATATTAAATTCTTTAAATTTTTTCATTTAAAAAGTCAGTTTTAG